ACAAAGAAACACACATGTAAATTCTGTATATACAAGAAATACGAAAAGGATAGCGTGATTATGTTAGTGACAATCGTCTCCGCATTATCGACAATGTTCGAGTTCGTCATCGACACCAGCATCCCCGTCATATTCAATTGAATTTGACGAACCGGCTTATCTCGTCTGGCCAATTTAATTTCGCACAAATTATAAGATAGCATTTTTTTTCTTTGTATTTGCCAGTACTTATTTTAAAAACTAATTTGTACACGTACGTAAAACTGTACTGAAGTGATCGAATATTTCCAATTCATTTAATAACAGAATATTATTGTGATTGAAGAGTTGCGGATTATTACTTTGTCCCGTATCAATAGACATTTCCAATTTCATTTCTTGAACTCTCTAGTGTGTGACGTTACTGAAGGGGAAAAAAAATCATTTTCGTAATAAAAATATTATCTAACGGATATAAATTTATATAACGCTTAAAGTTAATAAATATAGTTTAAACATAGGCACCGTAATTTTCTTATCGATCGTCTAATGAAACGATGAAAAGTTTGAAACGTGTGAAACAAAATGCAATGACAACGATAGGGAAGGTGTTGTCGAGGGTCGCGCAGCGGGAAACCCATCAGCTCACAAGAATACCGCGATATACCTGCTGAACGCTACACAAAAGCCCAAACATCTATACCGTGTTATTGGATTAAATGGACCTATCGCTGGATTTATGAATGAAAATTATTCATTGGTGATTAAAATCGGATAAAAGTAAGCGCGAAAAAATTTGGCTTACCGAACTTGTATACAAAACATCGGCGTTTAATAATCGGCAGAGATAGTTTTAATCTAATAATACTAACTTGATTAACACGGTTTTGTCTTTTCGAAATGGTTTGCACAGAAAATAAAATTAACAAAACTCTAAATTTATTTTAAGACTTTCGAAAGAGTTAATTATATGCTGAATATTTTACATAACATATTTGAGTATGAAAAAAATATTTTTTAAATTCTCTTTAACACACACTAAGAGGAAAATACTTGATATTTGTAACTATAATTATGTAGAGAAATAATTATTTATAAATTATGGTCAAGAAAACTACTTTTTTATTAAAGTCTGCCATAATGTTAGTAATAATAACCTTATATACATGTTGCTACTAATATTCTTATAAACAAAAAATATAGTCGGAGTCAAAAATAGCTACAATTTTATTTGGGTCAAAAATATTTCTTTTTTCTCAGTGACGTTATTTTCCTTAAACACAATCCGGTAAAATAATAGCATAGCCCGGCTCCTTTTGTCAAACGACGCAGAGTTTTCCTCGTGACGTCATATTTCAGAAATTTTAGAGTCCCCGTAGACTATAATTTATTGCTTATCGCTACCTATGAATCACTAACGCCGCTGAAAAGCAGAAAGCCTAACTGCTAATGGGCTGTTCCTAATAATTCCTAATGATATAAATACTAAGGAAACCAATAAAAATTTAAGAAAGCTATTTCTAAATTATGTATATTTTAAATATTATAAACAAATAATTCGTGTATATAGAAGTGGAATATAAGATCAATTGTTTAGTCACAACAGCTTGCACACACATATATAATGTGAGACAATTACTTATATTTCTCAAATTGCAATTTAGAAAAAATTATCAACTATGATCTTTATTCCCATTAGAAGTGCAAAATACCAAATCCTTCATAAACTGTTCTGTTTACATTATAAACTTTTAATTTCAGCAAACGAGAAAAAACCAACCAAGGTGAAACGTACCAGAACGGCTTATACCAGCACCCAATTATTGCATTTGGAAAGAGAATTCCAAAATGGACGGTATCTCTGCAGGACGCGACGCATTCAAATATCGGCGTCACTCAATCTGACAGAAAAACAAATTAAAGTGTGGTTTCAAAATCGGCGGATGAAACACAAAAAAGACAACAAATGCGACGTCATATCGTTTATGCCCAGTGACCAAACTGAGCTCGCAGGCTGTTCAAGTAGTACATCTGTCTGCAATGATACTTTCAATATAATTACAAATAGCCCGAAATCATCGTTGATTTTGAATAATTTCAACGTGCAAGCCAATCCGTCCTGTGCATATCCTAGCAACATATCGCAGGATATATTGCAGTACAGTTATCAGCACAATTTATCTGCAACACCAAGCCATGGAATCAGCAACAATCAGCAACAATCAGCAACAATCAGCAACAATCAGCAGCAATCAGCAGCAATCACCTACAATTGTCAACAACAGCAAAGTTTTCATTCAGAGCCATTTTTACTTCTAACTGATTACACCATTAGTCCGCAATTAGACACTAATTATGTTCAGCAAGAGTCGCAATTAGACAATCTGAAGCAATACGAACACATGCAGAGCAATAGTAATTCAGATCCTGCACAAATACAAAATAATTACGCTAATGTTATGTCTAACGACCCAAATGATATTAATGTTGTCATGTCAAACAATATCACTTTCATGCCAGAAAGTGAAGAAAATTGTCATAATGACGCACCTTTACCCCCTTTTTCATCTTATTTTATTTAGAAATTTTATTTAAATCAAATGACAAAAATATTACTCAGTTAATTCTACATCAATTCTGCAGCACCCATCAATTCTAACTTGTTAGAATTTTAATGTGCTCTTTTTAAATGGAAAATTAATAATTATTTATAATTATTATATCTAGTCAGAAATATGTAGTCAAATATTAGGATAAACTTTGTAATTGTATATTCTTAAATTTATTAAACAATGTATATTTGTATGCATTTTTATGTATTTACGTGTACATATATGTGTGTTATCTTATGATAATTTTATTATATATACATTATCTTATAATTATTATGTAAAATCAAATTTATTCACATTGAATATCATTTGCGTTTCAAATTGGAAAAGAACATATTCAAATAATTCTGTAAATCTCGAATGTATAATACAAGAAATAGTTAAATAAAGATATTTATTTTCTTTGTATCTATTTACACCTATATATTTATACAGTATATACACACTATATACATATATACTATATACATACATACATACATATATATATATATATATATATATATATATATATATATATATATGATTTATATAGACTTATACTTGTATATATAAATATATGTATATATCCACAGATAAATTTTCATGATTATCATGACGTGAGACAATCGATGATGGAAACTATACAATTATATAAAAACACATAAAGGGTTCTACAAAAAAAAATATTAAAGACCACAAAGGAATATATAATTCTAAACTGTTCAACATATGTATATAAATATATGGCACGTATGTCTCTTCAAAATATATTCGTATTTTAGGTAGAGTGAGACGCGCAGAGGGATGATACGAGAACGAAGTGTGGAATAACGCGGGGGTGGTAGCCCTCTCGGCATAAGGGTGGTCGCAAACAGAATGGAGGGGCGCTCTCTCGCAGTGGAAGGAAGCAAGGGTATGGGGTTGGGTTTCAACCATGATTTCCATTCGCCAGCCATCCATCTTGTTTGAGACTGGAAACTGACAGATAGACGCGGATCCGAGTGCTGGTGACGTGGCAAGTCTTGCACGCCTGTGTGTGGCTGTGTGCGCTCGAGTGTGAGTGAGCTACGTGCACCTTTGCGTGCCTTTAAACTTCGCATCTGTGTGAAAAATTCGTTTTTAGCGACACTCGTTCAGCGAAATTGCTTTTATATCTCGCGCTCTATGTAACACATAACATTGCATGTACACGTGATATTTTTTCTCGCTCCATTAATATCGTTCTTTTCGGTTCGACAGTCGTGTACGGATCTCTCGCGTGTCAATCTTAATTGTTCTCTGATACATTTATACCGATAATGTGCCGGGAAAGTTTGCAAGAAACTTTTGCACCGCGCTTTTAACTGACGCACGTTGTGGAGCCTCCTCGACTGAAACGTCCTCGTAAACGTCCGTATTCGCGTACGGATCAACGCGACCACACGTGCACGTACGACGGTGAAGTATGGGTACACGCATACTTACATAAGGTAGCTTTCACCACGGCCGCCTGTCTCTGCCAATAAATACAATGGACTGTGGAATGCCCGCGGATCTACAGCAGGATCTATGAGCATTTGAATCTGAATCAGACGTTCTTCGCTGTTCGGATTTACCGCGAGCGCGATTCCAAGAGATTCCACTTTTATGCCGGATGAATAATGGCTGGATAATATCGAAACAGGGTAGCCTATTATCGAAAGACGGAGGTTTTGATATTTTTCAAACGACTGCGCGCTCTCCTCCTTCGTCGGCGTCTTCGTAACGATATTAACTGCAAAAGTAGAGAGATGGGTAGATAATGTTAAAGAATAATAATAACATTGTATAGTAACTTGTTATCGTAAAAATGAGTTCTGTCCAAGTTGCCGCGGTACTCTCGAAACAGCCAAATTACGGGCGCGAGCTTACGTGATGTTATCTGTGCTCGACTACTTAAACGTGTTTCACAGAGCGATCTAATGTCGAAACTTTCACACTTCATCTCAGAATTCCGTGTAAACGATCAACATTACGAGCTATAAGATTTATCGAACGCGCGTTTAGACGCCTCACGTGCATGTGGGACAACGCTCGAGTTTCCTTCGGTTAAAACGTAGAAATATTGAAATGGGCGAAGCGAAAGAATGAATAAAGATCAGTGAGCAGAGGGAAGAGGCAGAAAGGGAAACGTCGGAGGGTCGACGTTGCCGGCACGTAAAGCGCAACTTGATGTGCCGTAGAAGTGAGGAGAAGCTGCGAAAAAGAGAAAGAGAGGGGTCGGTTTGCTTGCGCACGCGAGTGATATTAGGTAGAAACGCATGAACTTTGATATATTCGTGAGGTGGAGGTAGGGGGAGTAAGGGTGGAGAGGAAGGGGAAAGTAGTCAAAGCATGGAAGGTGAACGACGGTCGAGCGTAGCGGCGCAAGGCGCCATACCGCGGCAAGTATCCGAACCATACGTGACCTGCAACTTTCTGGTAGCATCTCTCCTTGAGAAATCGATCTAGCAAATGCTGGTCTTTAGAGATTCTCGCGGTTCCAAGATACTCACGGCAAACGGTATCTGATGTCAAGCGCAACGGTTAGCTTTCGTTATTGCCGGTAATGAGTGCAGTCCTCCTTTCGGATATTGTTTCTAATCTTCGATTATTTTTGTTAAGAAAACTTGCGGAAAAAAAAATGTCATCCTCTGTTCGTCGAATGAGCATTACACTCATATGATATATTCAAGTGTCTCAGAAACGACTTGCGTGCTATGCTACTTATTTATTTGAAGCTTTAAGTCAATTCCTTTATATCACTTATTACGCAGGTCAAAGTGCGATGCACCAAGCAAGCGCTGCCGCGAAAACGGCGCGAAAATTCGAGAGACTGAGACGCGGCGGCGGTGAAGGAGGCGGCGGCGGCGGCGGCGGCGGCGGCGGCGGTGGAGACGACGGAAGGCGGAAAACAACGGAAAATAAAGCAACGGAAGAATCGCGTCGCAGGAAAAAGAATGAGGGCGCTGTCAGCTGGTGGAAATTATTCTGATTATGCTAATTCCGGTTCTGTTCCACTCCTTTACCCAGGCGTCCCCCAGCCCCGTCGCCTCCCTGCTGCTGTCTGCGCCATCTTTCATAGGTGATATTTATAATACAGGGGTGCCCGAGCAGTTTCAAACTCTTTTTGGCCCCCTCTATCCCTGCCCTACGCGCGCCACCACCATTTGGCCTTCCATCGAGCTCTCACCCCGGTCCCTCACCCTAGCACCCTCTTCACCCCCTTTACCCCCACATCCGCGTACTCTTTCGATAAATTTATTCATATTCCGCTCGAAATCCGTCAGCCGTAAGTCGGTCACATTACTCCGTGCTGCGCAGTGAAGTTAACTGCAGTCAATTTTCTCTCGGTGCGAAAATACATTCTGAGTTTTCAGACTCGAGGTTCCGCAAGATTGTGTTTTCGCTTATCATGGTATAAAAATATGAAGTGAACGATTGTTTTCACGGTCCGAGGGATCCGTCGGGTGTGCTGCTCGCGAAGATCACACACATACAAATTTTGTGCTCCATTTGTCACAGAGAACCTTTGAGGTTCAGCATGACTCTTTTCGGAACATCTCGCGTTTATGTTGATACACTTTTTTGTTCTTTTGCAAGTTCTAAAGAATATCGACTAAAGAAAAGATAAATTTCGCGGCCAAAGATATACAGCATCGATGCGAAACCTACGAATGTATGTGCTCGTAATCTCTTTCGAGGCAGTAAGTTTTCCTTTTTAATTAAAGGTGCTTTCTATTCATGCCGTAGACCGCCACGCCCGCTGCAAAAGTTACGGTACGTTATTTCGTACTTCGCGAAAAACGTTATTTGCGCAAAGCGGTTTGCGGGTAGTTTCGGCGGCGGGCCGAACTGCTCATCGATTTCAGATAATTACCTTTTACATAGTAAATATTGCGTATACATAACGCTCGAATTTCCACGAAAAATTCGACTCTTTCCTCTACACACGTATGTAAGAATTAAATTCCTTCTTCTCTGCGAGGAAGGCCGTGTTCGACGTCAATTAAAGAGAAGGCTCATCACGGTGAAATATTTATCGATTGCCCGGGACCGCTATATCGCGACTTACTCTATCCAGACTGAGCAAACGCGTCTATGCAAATAAAGCCTAATGCGTGAAGGGCGAAACGTTTGTCCTGCATAAAGCATCGCGTCGTAAATGTAGTTCACGTTACTTCATCCAGAACCGCAAATCCACTTGAAATTTAAAAGCCTGTATGTCTGTTAATTTAGATATTTATATTAAACATGACATCTGTATACGATCAAGTTGGTCGGTCGGAGGTTCTGAGGACAAAGTACTTATAAAAACAAATGTAAACGATTAATCTAAGAGCAGAGCAAAATAAATTTTCATACGTTGAGCGAAGATCGATGGAAATTTCCATGGAAAACATCAGCCAGCTGTGGAAATTCCTACAAAGAGTTCGGAACTTTCCAGCCAACATACCGACTTAAATCTGTTCCAGATGGATACGACAAAAATGCATTTCACAGACGAGAATGTTCGATTTCCTTCGAATTTTGCTTATAACGAGTATTACTAAACCCAGCACGACTTATGTTGCGTCACTCATTTTCTCTGCATTGCCTTACGAATACTTAAAAAAGATCGAGTTGAAAAAATATTCAATCAAAATCATCATATATTCAATGAGATCAAGAGATTGTGATTTTCACAGATGGGTACGACAAAATGTATTTTGCAGACGAGAATGTTCGATTTCCTTCAAGTTTTATTTATGAAGAGTAAAATTAAATTCGATACGACTTATGTTGTGTCACTCATTTTCTCCGCATTCCCTTACGAATACTTAAAAAAGATTGAATTGAATAAATATTCAATCAAAATCATCATATATTCAATGAGATCAAGAGATTGTGATTTTCACAGATGAGTACGACAAAATGTATTTTGCAGACGAGAATGTTCAATTTCCTTCAAATCTTATTTATGACGAGTATTACTAAACGCGGTGCGATTTATGTTGTGTCACACTCGTTTTCTCCGCATTCCCTTACGAATACTCAAAAAAGATCGAGTTGAAAAAATATTCAATCAAAATCATCATATATTCAATGAGATCAAGAGATTGTGATTTTCAAAGATGAGTACGACAAAAATGTATTTTGTAGACGAGAATATTCGATTTATGTTGTGTCACTCGTTTTCTCCGCATTCCCTTACGAATATTCAAAAAAGATTGAGTTAAAAAAATATTCAATCAAAATCATATATTCAATGAGATCAAGAGATTGTGATTTTCACAGATGAGTACGACAAAATGTATTTTGCAGACGAGAATGTTCAATTTCCTTCAAATCTTATTTATGACGAGTATTACTAAACGCGGTGCAATTTATGTTGTGTCACTCATTTTCTCCGCATTCCCTTACGAATACTCAAAAAAGATCGAGTTGAAAAAATATTCAATCAAAATCATCATATATTCAATGAGATCAAGAGATTGTGATTTTCACAGATGAGTACGACAAAATGTATTTTGCAGACGAGAATGTTTAATTTCCTTCAAATCTTGTTTATGACGAGTATTACTAAACGCGGTGCGATTTATGTTGTGTCACACTCGTTTTCTCCGCATTCCCTTACGAATACTTAAAAAAAATCGAGTTGAAAAAATATCAAAATCATCATATATATTCAATAAGATCAAGAGATTATGATTTTCACAGAATATAGTAAATTAGTCTGCGTAGAAACCTCTACGAGGACATGAGGCGTCAAATAATGAAAAGCAGACTCTTGTCAGGTGGATCATCTATAAGCTTCGTAGGTGGGCACGATAAACGTCAACTTTAATTAATCACTCAACTGTATTACTTCCCATTTAAGACCATACCCCCACGTCCCCCATTCGAAGAAACATCCCGCTCCCCCTACTCGACTACTCGACGCGGCAATAGGTATTCGTAGCATTCACCGGATAAATCGTAAGCAGCGCACTTTGCTCGAAACATATATACAAAAGAGGAGCACGAAAGCAAAGCCACGGGTACCTTTACAGACAGGCTTCGTATAAACATGTCAGTCTAGCGAAGCTCGTCTTCGAGAAACCGGCCCGCGTTCATCCATCACTCCTCGCGAAGCCGTCCTCTTGGCCCTCCTAGACTTCCTACGGCCTCCGCTTCGTACATACAATTCCCCGTGTGTCCTCCGCGTGGATTTTTATTGCCGGCTTAACAAATCTTTAAAAACGACGTAGCACCGTGCTGTGATAGGAATAACGGTGATCATTAATACGCGACGAATTGTTCCACTTGCTTCCGAAGACATTGCCAAAGCGAATGCTCGCAATAAAATGCGGTTTAAACTAATTGAGATGCGAAATTTCAGGTACACGTACTTCATCATGATGGAGAATATTATATTAGTAACACATAAAGAGACAGCGTAATGTAATCATAAAAATGATATAAAAATAAGAATGTACCATATAATGATATATAATTTTTAGTTAATTTCACCAACATTGCGCCGATAGATATAATACATTACATATTTGTATAGAACACACATACGCGACGATCATGCGTGCGGCGTTCTTTTTCTCCGCTTTTTTTTCAAACGAGCGACAGCTTGCGCAACATAGCGCGCGATTTCCACGTACTGCTCTTCGTATACACGATAGGCGCTTCGGCAAAATTCTGGAAAATATATGAACCGGGCAAGTTCCCCCACCAAGCTGATCGTAACTCAAGCAGTGAGTGACTCTCTCTTCTCCAGTCGCGGAGAAACCCGACGGCAGACGAAACCGCGCCTCGCGTCGCCTCGCCTCGCGTCGCGTCGCCTCGCGTCGCGTCGTCTCGCGTCTCGGGGAAGGATGATAGGAAAAAAAGGAAGCGAAGAAGGAATATATAAAAGGAACGATAGATCCGCAACGTGGAATGCAAAGGATAGGTAAATGGCGACACGCGAGGAGTGTACCCGGCTGAAATTCCGCGGTTACGAAGAACGATGTAGGAAAATGAAGAAGGAGAAAGGCGGTGAAAGGTGCGAGAGGGATAAGGAACCCTTTCGTGACGTATGGCGTGTCGTCACGGAGCGTCACTTAGAGTGGCGGATGAGAAAGCATCTCGTGAGTCAGAGAGAGAGACAGAGACAGAGGAAGATAGGGCGAGAAAGAGAGAGAGTGAGGGAAGGAAGGAAAAGAGAGGAAGAGAGAGAAAAGAAGACGTCGACACGTCAGGATTCTAAGGCCGCCGGGACCTGTCTGCGTCGGTGATGCCGCATTGTTGCCAGGGAAATCAGACGAAAAGACGCGATAACTAACCGCATAATAAATGAAGTGTTCACGGGGGTGTGCATTGCGCCCGGTACGCTGATATCGGGGAATAATCGTCCCTTTCCGTCTTCTTCCTCAGCTCTATCCTCGCAGCAGCTTACATCAACAATGGCAGTATCTCGCGACCGAAAAATATTTTTCGGCACGCGCGTGTCCAATATCGCTCTTTAATTCTCTTTATTTTATTAAGAACGAGCGATTGAAAATTGCGACAGATATAAAGACAAATCGGTGTCACACGCTGAATTAGCATTATCAAATTTTTAATGCTTTCACACAATATAGATTTACGTCGCGACATCTCCTCTGACCCGTTAATTCTTAACTTTTTTAGCAGATTGCATTTCTCAAGAGGAGATTTCGTTTATCAGAAACTCATTCGGTGCACAGTGGTTAGTGCACTGCTTGATACATGCCGCTTCGCGGAACGTCGCCTCATCATCATCATCAACTCTAGGCAAGGATACCCAGCCATCTGATGAGGCGCATCGACTGCTAATTCACTGATAAGAAACACTTGGGGACCTCACCGTCCCCCTCACATCACCACTCATCGGCTCAATACTTATTGGTTCATATCTCAGCCGGTGCGCAAAGTCTGATATCTCGAGAAATCGGAGTCACTGCCATCTCATTACTGAACGTAAAGCAAGTGACGTAATCTGAACGCCAATGAATAAAACGAAGATCTGCCTTGCTTTAAATAACGTTGATGCAATCGGATTTCTCAATATTCATGCGCGTTGCGAGGAATAATTTAATAATACATCACTTACCACGCATCGACACTAATCAAGGACATTGAGCGCGCACAATGCTTTTCTTGGAAAAATCATGTATATTGGAAGATTAAACGACTGAAGAACGATCGTCTAAATTTTTGCGAAAAGAAAAAGTTGCTGCACTTTGATTCAAGAATACTTTGTGGTACTTTGCAGACTATCGTCATAAGAGCCGTTAACAAAGAGAGACAACTGTGATTTCTACTCCTTATTTAATATTAAAAAGTTTTAATAAACAACACTATGTATATATAGAAGAATAGAAACATAACCGGAGCGCAATTTCACAGAGAGGTCAGATCAAAATAAGATTTTACGAGGCACGAAAAAGAGGAGCCGCAGGACTGGGTAGAAGGATGGAAGGCGAGTGTAAAAGCGAAAATGCTGTCGCTAAGATGCAAAGGTGAGACGAGAGGTGAGCAGAGAAGAACGGGCGATGGTACCTCGATGGGGGGTAAGAACGATAAGACGTCGTGAGTAATGAGCAATGCCGCGAGTGATATCAGCGTGCGAGAACGAGACACTTCTCGCCGTTTTAAGAAGTTAGGGGACGGCGAGCCTCGAGAGAGAGAGAAAAAGGACGAGGGAGAGAGAGAGGGCGCTACAAATCAAGTTTTATACCGAGAAAAAAAAGTTCATTATTGGTTCGCCGTAAAAAGCTGCGACTGAAGATTCTGTCGTGGGGTGGAGAGACCCTTTCGCCTTCGACGTGGAAGGGTGGAGGAGAACTTCCGTCGAGTAAGATCGAATATGAAGCAAATGCGAGGAACAGGGAGCGCCTTAAGCATTCTTGTCAATTTTTCTCATCGCCCTCGATAACGGATGCCGCAAGTAGTATGACAGTTGATAGCCGTTAAGGCAAAAAATATCTTCAGTGACGCACGGCATGTTTGACAATTTGAAGAATTCGAAATTCAAAATTTCATAAAAACATACATATGTAAAGTATTTGTTACTAACACCCAGCAAGCAATACCAGAGCCAGCGAGCAATCAAGTGATGTAAAAACTACCCGGTTGATATCGATAACATTATTACTAATATCTATCTCGATACTTTCTACATGAGAAATGTTAAAATAGTCGATCTACTAGTGCGAGACATTAATCTAATGAACGTATAGATTATAATAAACGTATAGATTATAATTGCTGATAAAGAGTAACCGTGCTTAAAAATACTTTCATCGTCCATTGCTGCGGCTTCCCCGACGCGTGCAGCAACCCCTGTAAATCTAGGCGGTGTCGTTTCCACATCCTGTTTCACTGTTTTCCACCAAATAATTTCAGCTTCATTCTTCATTTAGCTTGGCACAAACTGCCGCAAACAACCGGCCCTCCCCCGCGCGAAACGAAGGCTCACCCAAGTCGCCCGCGCCGCAGCCGCATTTATATTAAAATACTAAGAAAAACTTCCATCCACCCCGACCCACCCCGTAGCCTGGCCCACCGTCGGTAGAATCGTTAATTTTCTGCTTCCATTCGCTTCCCGTAAATCCCCGCTACCCCGCCGGGAAAAATAATACGCGGAGGAAACGTTGACCATTATTTTCAGAGTTCGTAACGCGTTCATTAAAATTATGATTTGGATCTGTGACATAGTATCTCATAAGAGGTGGGAGT